CAACATATTTGCATGCTGAATGCTTTTCATATATTAAGAAATGCTGACTGCAGTAAGTTACTATTCATTAGGAAGTCTTCCATGCACAGGAAACTTAAAACGTATTCTCTAAAATAATAATTCCCTTTCTTCTTTCTAGTTCTTAAACCTAGACATTGATAAGCACTACTTCCTGTGATAAATGACCTTCAAATTAGATGACACAAAGAACACCAGTGAATAAAAATTATCTTTTTTTACAAAGGCAATTTACAACCATACAAGACCCCTGGCACCCATACAGCTAATCTTGTTTTTGGAAGAGTTACATTCGTGCAGTAATTCTGTCCTGCAAAAAGCTGGTTTGTCCCTAACCACGGCTATTCAGAAAACGAATTTCAACATAATGAGGGCTGTAACTTTATAGGGAGTTTGAGCAGCCTTGCAGTACTGTGAGCAGTGCATTCCTGAAACTCTCCTATACCAGTGTAATGTCAACAGAAAAGGCTAAGTGGTGATGTAATGTCTGAGGGCATGCCAGAGTCAAGACACTTTTTGTTTGAGTCACAGGGTACAAGTTATTTCTCCCCACCCCCGCCTTTTTAAAACAGGCAATACGCAGTTGATTTTACAGCCACAAGCATTATAGAGCCTCACATTATCTACACAGGGAAAAAACAGGAATGAACCAATAGCATTCGTCGTTGTGACACAGGCAACAATTCTTGAGCAAGAAGACCTTTTGGACTATTTTAGTTTGGAGAGTGGTTGTGTTTTGTGGTTTCTTTCTGGGCCTTTTTTTTGCTGTTGCCCATCACTATAGCTCCTGAGGCTCCTACACTTAAAAACACACTTGGGTACCTAAAGTCCTGCAATACTTTCTGTATCCTCAGATATAGGAAGATATTTTCTATACCAGTCTAGCAACTAAAAAGCCTTAGTATTTAATCAACATTACCCAAATTCTAATGCTGACAAGAAGAATAGAAACTTGCCCAGCACTGTGACATGACTAGAGAGACTCCGACATTTAACATTTGTATATAATCAAACACTTGTGCATACCAAAGTCAGTGGGACTTGGGTGTATAAATAAACTGTTTTTAAAATTCTGGACCTGGATGCCCGGAAGGAAGGATAAATTATGTTTTCACACAAATTTCTATAGCCAACAAAGGTAGTGGGAAGCTGAGAGTCATGCTTGATCCATCCAGCCTACCTTACCCTCCCTCTCTTTCACAGCTATATGATTCAAGTGAGCTCCTGGATAATGCAAATGCCATATAATTTTGAATCTGTTTATCAACCAACATCAGAGCTCTTCCTCAAAAAGTAGAAAAATTGGTGTCATGTGAATAGGTCATTACACCAATGACAGGATGAAAGAAAAAATTCTGAGAGGAGCACACAAAGGTAAATTTAAATGGCTGCAAATAAAATAGCAGGTAAACAATGTCTCTCAAGCTTTGGTAGTTGCAAGAAACAATAAAAGCACGATTGTGGCATTTCTAGGAAAAATGCTCATGTACATATATATATGTATGTATGTATATGTATGTATGTATGTACGTACACACAGTATTGTTGACTTTGAAATCAAGCTCACAAGACTAGGACAATAACGCTTTTGGGGGCAAACAATAGTTTACAAGGCCACAAAGAGAAACAAAGCTGTTCATTCTCTAAGATCCCCATCACTTAGCTTGTGCTGCAACCCATAATACCTGCAACAACTTACAATCACATAAGCATTTCAGAACGTGTTCTTAAAAAAACCCACAAAAAACAAACAAAAAAAACCCCCAAAACCATTGTACTTAACAAGTAAGTCTTCCTGCATTTTGTACCTTAGAGCATTAATGATAATATCATTCTTTGCTAAGAGGTTTCAATCTACTTGTATCTCAGATGCTCCAGTAAAATGAGGTGGTAATACAAATCACTGCATGCCTGCTGGTAGCAGGCTTCCCTCTAGAGTGACACATCAGGAGTTCTGGCTTCAAGTCCTTTTAAGCACCTATCACAATCTGTGAACACTAAAAAAACAATACTGAGAAAATATTAGAAAGTCTAACCCCCATCAACAGACAAACCAATCAAACTGTTTTCCAACTAGTAGTCTGTGTTCTGTTTCTGCAAAGAATTTCATCAATTTAACACACATACCTTGTCAAAGTAAGAACAACACTTCTGGTCATTTGGGAACTTAAGCATTTGGCTTCTTAAGATATAAGGGCAATCTCCAAGAGAACTCTTAAGTTGTGTGCTTGCAGGTCAGAATCTGCTCATTTCTGCCATACCAGAATGCAATCCATAAGAACAGGGTGTTATTTACTTTTACTGTAGATTTTCACCACTGTATTAAAACAAATTTCCAAAGGCAACCCAAAACTAACAGTTATGGGGTTTTAAACCCTGGTGGCCATAATTTACAAGAAAACTTCCTGTGAGCAAGCCATTTGCTATGTACAAACTTCAGAGAAAGATTAGCAAAGGCTATAGTTCTGTGAGGAGCTGAGTCTCACAGAGCTGAGAGGCCATGTCTCCATCTCACATCTACCTTCTGATCCCTATATCACATCCAAATGCTTATCAGAGCTCTCTGAGTGTCAGTACAAGTCATTAACCCAGGAAAATACATAAACGCTGGTGCCAAGTTAGGAAATGGTACCAGTGAAATTACCTCTGCTGGACAAGAAAGGCCTCCCCCTTTCAGCAGTTCACTTTTTTCCCAATGCTATTGCATTCTAAACAGTGGCGAGTTAAGGATAATCCTTTCTTATTAGAGTTAAAATATATTATAGAAATGCAACTTTATGAGATGAGCTACCTATGCAGACAACACATAGTAGTTTTTGAACACAGGAGACTCCATTTTTAATTTACTGTTCTCTGTAAGAAAGGTACAACCTAACTATTTAAGACTGCTTAAAAGAGAAAAAATATCAAGTTGGCAGTTTAATAAAGATGAAAAGAAGAATTGAAGACAGAGAAAATCAGAGGTTCAATGTGAAAAAACTGCTGAAGAAGCCTTTCTACTACAAGTGCCACTCACAATTTGAAAGCAACTTTCTTATCCATAAGTCCCTTCAAATGAGCCTTAGCCCACACAAAATTTTGATCCTATGAGGAAATACAAGCAAGGTATTCTGTGAAACTTACTTTGCATGGATCTCAAATGAAAGACATTCTTTAGAAAGGCTAAGAACAGCAATATTAAAAAGGAGAGGCAACTGGAGACAGATTAAATTGCATATAGAATTATTTCTTCTTTTGATAAATTCTGATTTGCAGGGGTGAAGACTTGTGTACATTATACAAAAGCATACTTGCTGTATAGAAGGGCAAAACTAAAAAAAAATGTTATCTTTTTGTTCACCTTGTCTACCTTAACAGTATGTTCCAACTCCAACCTTCTTTTCTAGATACACCTGCAACTGGAACTGGGTTCCCTGTAAAAGGCAGTCCCTAGGGGCTATCCCTGGTGTTGACAGTCTTAGCCACTGGATTTGAACATTACTGGACAGTTTCAGACATAGAGTTGGAGTATGCAATGGCATTTTCTGAATTCATTATCATTTTTCCTTCACGTTAGAAGATGGGTATGAGCTTGTGTCTAAATGTCAAATTCCACATCTCTCTAACATTCCATAGAAAAGTTCATCTTCTCTATTAGCTTTGTATAGTTTTATGAGAAACTATAATTGTCTTTTGCTCTGATTTCCAACTCATTATCAGCATTATGTGCTGCTACTTATCCAAACAGAAAGTCTGTCAAGCCACAGAGTATAAAATTTTTATTAAAAATGCAGGCTCCTGAAGTATCGCATCAGCCTGATACAGAACAGACACACTCCTCCTGTTAAAATAATACCATACCCATAAGAAAATGCCTTAGAAAGCAGAGCAACATATACTAAGACTTTTTTCTACATCTTTAGTAACAAATAAGAAGCTAAATTATGTGTCAGAGTTTACACATAATTTATGCTCTACACCAAGTTCCAGAGGAGAAGTGTGTTATTGTTAGGCTGACTAAATAATGGATCACATATTATCAGTGGTTTTCTTCTTAACCAACATATGTGTTTTCCCATGTTTTATAGTAAGACACCCAAATGTTTCAAATGAGTTTCATTATTACATTTTCACACTCTTGTCAAAAAATATTCAGAACTAAGGAACACTGCTCAAGTTCACTGACATGAATGTATTTCCTACTTGCAATCTGAAGGAAGCTCAACTCTGCCTCCTGCAGCAGCAGCAATAGAATTAGTGATGAAATTCTGACTGCAAGAATTTTGCTGATGACAGGAAATTTTCAGATCATAGTTTGATACTATCATAGCTTGAAAAGACATCTTTTGTCCTTAAATAGTGCCTGTGGTTATTAAATACAGCTGTCCAAAGACAGTATCTGGCTCTAGAATCATATGAACTTCTGTTAGTCACTTTACATGTGACCTATTTCTTTGTGATTGGTAGTAGGGATAGAGCCTCCCCCCAGGGAAGTAACAGACTATCCCTTCCTAACCACCTGCCATCACTCCTTACAGAACACTTCCTACAAAGACCTATCCTACCTAATCTAATAGTCAAGAATTAAAAGAGAAACATTATAATTTGAAATAAGAATTAATAACTCTATAAATACACAATATTTACATTTTGTGGGATTGCCTCTATGCCACTCTCTAACAAAAAATGCAAGGAAGATGCCTCTTTATCATATGTACATGAGCAGATAACATTGGACCTAAAAAGATGGCAAATATTTTCTTCTGAATATAATCTTCCAAGTAAGTATGAGATCACATCAAACAGCAGGTAGAACTTCCGATGTGTTTTGGTATGTGTTTCCCTTCTTTCAGAGCCCACATTGCAAAACAGTTCTGAATAAGCCTGTACATGTCCTGCTTCCTGTGTTATCTGCTGAATCAGAAAAAAGCCACCCTCACAAAGGTGTTCTCAAACAGTCATGGAAACTCTGGAAACTCAGGGCAGCATTGCTTGCTTATTACCTGATCACGGTCACCTGCAAAACAGCAGCTCTTCATAGTACAGGAGTTGAAGTAGCCTTGGTTGTCGAACTGGAAGACGGGCAGGCGGCAGTGGATGTCGTAGAGCACCGGGGGCAGGCGCCGGCGCAGGGCCAGCAGCTGGGTGCCGTTGCTGTTGAACCGGACGCTCATGGCACTCTGAAGGGAAAGGTTCCCACCATAGCGGAGCAGTGAACTGGGAAAAGACAAGTGGGAGTAGGTGACATGGGCTGCACGTACCAACTCAACTACTTCGACAGAACTCTCTTTAATCTTACTGAGGCTTTTCAAACAAATAAGCCCAGTAAACTATAAGTTTTTCTTATTTAGTTTCTGCTTTCAATTCCTGAAAAATCTTAATATGAAACCTGAATGACAAGCTATAAAAAGGCTATGTTTGTAAAGTCTTCAGAAGAGAAAAGTTAAAGACTGTGAGTAGTTTTGTTAATAACAAATTTCCTGCATAGGAGCAAAGTTGGACAGAGCACTTAGCCTTAAAAAGGCTCTCCTTTTACTTCTGGGGTGTCTGCCTTTGAGACTGACCCTACCAGCATTCAGCCCTTTTTGTCAGCTGGTTCTTGAACCAGGCAGCCTTTTGCCCTTGCTCTGGCACCAGATGGCATTTTCTCCAAATGTAGACAGGCTGGCCATTCTCTCTCTTCTGCTTCTATTTATATCTCTACAGGGCATCAGAGGATGTTTAAATTCCACAATCAGTTCCAGATGTCTTAAATAAAAGGACATCTTACTAACATGTTATTGCAAGAAATGCTAAAATAAGTCACTTAGCTAATCTTGAACTAGCTTCATCTAAAAATACTGCCAAGTAGGCAAGACAATTATGTTATCACATGACATTATTACCTAAAACTCTCATGTGGCAAGATTAGCTGGTTTCCTTGTCCCATATACGGCTGTATATTCAGAGCTGGAGTGTTTGTATCCCATTCTTATTGACATACACAAAACAAAACCAAAGGTTCACAAGTTTCCAGACTCTCTTTAAAAAAGTAACAGAAATTGAATTTGTTCCATAAAGGAACCAAAAGTTAATCAAAACACACCTTAAATGCAACTTGTACAGATTTTCTGTTCTTTTCAAAGACTTCGCTCAGTCTGTGTACTTGAAATGATTGTGTGTATGGAAAGCGAGACAAAGATGGAAGACATTTTATCCCTTTTTTTGTTCATTGATCACTGACACCTTCCTAAACAGTACTAGAGTTCACTTTTTTGTTAACACTTCTGTTTTGAGCAAAAAACATCAACTCTTATTGAGAGCTGTGACTTTTATGCCCCTTCTGGACCAGAAAAAGCATGCCAGCTCAGAATTTGTAATTTCTAGAGGGAAGCTTACTCATAGATTTTAATGCATAATATTTTCTGATATAGGCCTTTGCCCCAACAACCGTGAACAATGAGTCACTCCACGTGGATGGGAAGCCACATTCCATGCAGGTTGAAACATGCATCATTGCCTGAGATACCTTAAAGTTAAAAACCATTGTTCCTAAGCCAGAGTTAAACAAAACCAACACAAAATACATAATGAATGCCCTAGAAATAGGCTGCTCTCTCACATAAACACTCTTTGTGAACTGAACAGCCAAAGCCAGGGCACAACAAAGGCACCAGAAGTCACATTTTCAAAGCCAACTAACTAGTAAGTTCTTAAGGCTGGGCACCAAAACTTCAGAACACTTCTATCAGTGTGAACAGCTCTGGTGTCTGTTCTCCTCCTCCAAGGCAAACTTGTCAAGCTTTTATTAATCATGTTCAAGGTATTTAATTAAAACATGAGAGAATTTAATACTAGAAACTGTAAGCTTAGAGACAAGGATTTAAGATCCCTCCCATCAGTCCTAGTTTCTGTTAGTTGAGACTAATAAGGTACTCAGCTCAAAATACTCAGGCATTAAAAATCAAAACAAAACAAGATAACCAAAACACATAAGATATTTTTGCCTTGCCCTCTTCTGATAGGTCTTAGCAAGCCATTTATTTTTCTGTGGAATTTTCCACTTTCTTCAAAAAGGACAAACAAGCTAAAACATCATAAACCCCCCAAAACCCCAACCCAACCAAGAACTCAACACAAAAAACAGGTGGAAGAAACAATTCTAGATTTTTTTGGCTAAGAAAAGTTATTTTTAAATAAAAATATATGAGTTGTCCAACATGAATAAGAAGGTCATAACAAATATGTGCCAACCAGACTTAATGTTTAGGTGCAAACACTGCTGCACTAAGATTAAGCTTCTCTCCTCATAACCAGTTTTCCCCCTTAATCCAAATCATGGCCCAGAATTCTCTCCTGCCTGCAAGTGAGTGAGCCTACCAGATGTCCCATCCTTTCAAGTCTTCAAGTGAAGTTTCCATTGTGACTAATATTATGCCCTGCCTGAGATCATTTGAGATTATATTTTATAGCAATAGGAGTGCAATATTGAACTGGTTTCCATCAGATGTTTCATTAAGCTCCTACAGCAGTCAAAGGTACCAAAGCAAACACTTGGAATTGAATTCCGTATTGTGTTGCAGTAACTTCGATGTAACAAAGCTCCAAAAGAATATTTTACTTCAGAGATTAAAGGAAACAAGAGAGACTAGAACTTCAGAAGAAAATGTCCACACATGAAAATTAAGGAGCTGCTAGTTAATACTTCTCAAAAGATCCATAGCTTTGCCTGTCTCAGACCCTCACTCCACACAATTCTGCCACACACATGATGGAAATACAGTCCCTGTTGCAGTTTTTTAAACATTTGGCTCAAACAAAATAAAAACCAAAACCAAACAAATAAAGTGAAACCGCCACACTAACAAAAAAAGCAGTGAGTTAGTTTGACTGATACAGAAAGAAATACTAGAATATCTGTTTGCCATTCATTTATAATGTAAGAGTAATGACTTTTTCCACTTGCCTTAATTCTGGCCCCAAAAGTCTGATACTATAGCTCCAAGTGCAGCATGGAGCATTTTGCTGTACTAATCACAAGACAGCAGTTTTCTGTTTTCCCCACCCTGCTGTGTCCTGATTACTTCCTCTCTGCCTTTTTGAAAGGACTTGTTAAATTAACTGCACAGTGTTTTTCTTTAACAAACTCTGAGAAGAGGCAGCAAGTATTCAGGTGGGGATGAGGTGAACAAACTAACACAAGCCTCTACCAAACATCCATTTCCTGATCCAAACAGAGGAAAAATATTTGCTTGCTCTCTCTTTCCCCCTAGGACAGAACATCTCAGAGACATGTTCACAAATAAGAGGGGGGGATGTGTATGGAGGGAGTGCAGCTCATGGCTCTATCTTGGTGGCAAAGCTGCTCACTTAGTTCTGTTTAGAGGATATATAAAGGATTTGAGAAATCTCTCTCTGCCTCATACTGCAGGCAGTGCACATGGTAGCAGTACTGAGAACTGAGGAACCCCACGACTTCGGTAACTTGCATCATAAAGTTTTGGTGATTTTAGAACAACCGTGATGATTTTAGGAAAAAAATAATAATTGCCTGAGATGCCTTCTATAGTATCCATCTCCATCAAAAGTGCAGGAGAAAAACAGTCAGCCCTCTCCAAGAAAGAAGCCAGAAAAAGTTGTTATTTTTTACAGTATTAAGCCACTACTAATACTCATTAGTACTGAAGAGGATGACTGAATCAAGAAGCTCTAAAGACCTTCAAATTAATCAGAATGAGAGCTTTTGCACTTTCTTTTTTTTTTTTTTTGGTGGGGTGGGGAGGGGAGAGGAAGAGAAGTGCTGTGTTTAAGCATGTTCAAATGACTATATCCCCTTTCCAAGTTGCACCAGGGTGTTATGCTGTACTTTTAGTCAGTGTTACTTTTGGATTTCTTCACACAGGATTATGTGGGGCAATGTAGGCATGTTTGGATATGTTGCTCATGTTAGAACTGCTCCTTACTGCATGCACTAACAAAGGAGTTTCAGAGGCAACACCTTGTTGCAGTTCTAAAAAGTTTACTGATGCATCACACCAGTAACAATACTCTCATCTTGAAGACACAGACCAAGACAGCTAGTGAGAAATCTGAAGGCAATACTAAAAGGACACTTCTGAACAAGATGAGTGCTCTTTCTGCCAGAGGCATTATTTTTATGAATCCAAAGCCAGACTACTCGGATTTACTCTGCTTCCAAATTTGGCTCACCCAGACAGCTGTGGAATGCTGATGTTGCCTACCAGCTCTGGAAGCAATATAGAGAGAGACACACGCACTTCTGAGTTTTTTAAAAAGTCAGATTGTATGATTAAGAGAAATATTTAGTCCACAGATGGAACATTGCAATCCAAACACACATGCTGGAGTGGAGGGAGGCTGAGGAGGGAGAGAATGGACGATTCTATGCAATATGGTCATTTCCGTAGCTGGATATGCAGCACACAGGCAGCAGCCAAGGGCCAGCTAAATACCAGCTCAGTCAAACAATGGAAGGCTTTGAATCCACGAGCAGCAGCACTAATGTAAATAATTCGGTTAACTGGCAGTTAGTGGAGTAAGGGAAGGAGCAGTATCACTGCATGGCAGTATAGACACTGTCCTTGGGACAGCAGTGTCATCTAAGAAGAGAAATTAAATAAGCAAGGGAATAGTGTTGGTATCATAAACAGCAGTGAGTGAGACTAAGTTAATGAAAGAATGACCTTAAAAGGAAAGAATGAACTGAATGCTTGTAACTAATACACACCATTGCATACAACTGTGTTTGTCAGCAATTCTGTAACCACAAAATTGAGAAACTTCTAACTGTGCAAAAAAATAACTGGAATGAAACTTGGCAAAAAGAATTTTGGCCTGGAAAACTGCAGAAAAGTTTTGGGGTTTATTTGCAAGACAATTATTGTGTATTTAAAAGGACAGAATTCATATATAGTCTGAAGCAAACACTTAAGAACCAAAACAACCAATAACAGGAAACTCAACACAATATCAATAATCATGCAGACCTTTTTAAAGTAGATTATGAGTGTCCGAAATCTCAAGATAGTTTCTTTGAAAAGCAGATAAATTGCGTCTAGTTGTACGTCATTTCACTGTATTACGAGTGTTAACAAATGTGAAGGAAGTCCATCCATGTATAGAGATTAGAAGGTATACAAGCCATACTCAAGGTTTTATTATTTTTCTGAAACAAGGTCATTTTTCTAAATCATATCATCACTACTTCTGATTATCTT